CTTTTAACTTATAAGTAATTAAAAAAGAAGACAATCCAAACACCCCCTTAGAATATAGAGCCAGTGACTTAGATTTTAGTTTCAAACTTTTAGTTCTAAAACTCTTGGTTATTCTAATTGATATCAGTGTTTACCTTTGAACAAAATATAATCCGTCAACTCATGTATGTCTTTGATACATTTTTTCATGTTATACATTAGCTATACATTTGATTTTGTGTGTGTTGAAGAATGTATTACAAATTTACATTAATTTGATGTGTTTAGTGCTGGCAAAATGAGCTCATATTTTGATAACCCGCCCATATTTTAATGGGATGGGTGAGTGATTTTTTATATGGGCAAAATATGGATTGATACCCATAAAAATATGGGTAAACTATGGGTAAAATATGGGTAAACTATGGGTAAAATATGAATTAGCTAAATGGGTTAAGCATCCAACTTTTCTTCACTTAAATTCATGATATCACTAAAAATATTATAACTTCTCTTCCTTTTTATGTCTTCTATAAAGCTAATTATTCTTCTCTATAATTGAAAAGATGAAGTCTTTGGCCCTCCAAAAAATATATATTTTAAATGTACATTTCTTTTCTTAATTATAATTATATTTTTTATTTGTTTAATTTTATATTGGATAACATATAATAGTGTAAAATAAACAAATCATGTATTAGTATTGACATTGTTTAAAGTGCATTAAGCATGTTTTAGTCCTAAAATGCAAATATTCATTTACTTTGAAATTAAAAATATTTTCCCTTTGTTATTACATAAATTTATTTTATATTGAAAAGTTATAGGATTTTCTTTTTGACTTTTATGATATAACTAGATAATGGTGCTCGTGCTATGCACAGGCCCAATAATATAAATGATATGTTTTGGGGCTAATAACGGAGTTTTTGAAGCGATTGTTTGCGTGGATAAAGGAATAAGTTTTTTTAATCACAAACTTGTACTTTCTTTGACACTATTAAAATGGACCCAATAATGTTATTTTTGTTGTCTCAATTTATGTGACAAATAAAATTTGGAGAGTCATCCAAATTTTCATATTTTTTTTTTAAAATGTTTTAAGTTATTAATTATTGAGATTTATAATATTTTTATGTAACTTTCAAATAACCTACATTACTGGTGACTTTGTCCTAATTTATGTGATATGGATAAAATTACAAAATTAACCCTTTTAAAATGTCTTTTAGATATTTTAAGTTGTTAATTATTATTATTATTTATAATACTTTTTTGATAATTTTAAAATGATATGTGTTATTTTTTTTGTCCCAATATATGTGAGCCCGATAGAATTCTAAGAGTGAACCTATTTTATTATATAGCTTTTAAATATTTTAATTTGGTAATTATTGTAGTTTTTAATGCTTTTTAAGCCATTTGTAAATGATATATGTTGCTTCCTTTGTCCCATTTTATATAGTATAAATAAAATTTCCAAAACCAACTCAATTTTTAATATAAATATTTAAATATTTTAAATTATTAATTATTGCAATTTACAATATTATAAAAAAAATTAAATAGAAAATGTACAAAACTTGTATCAGCCTAAAAAATGATCACGATAATTCGAAGCCTACAGAAAGCAATAAGGTTGTACGTAATTTTAAATACTTAATATATATTACTCCGTTTGTCTCAATGTATGTAGCATAGATAAAATTTCAAGAGTCAATCAAACGTTGTTAATTGTTAAGATTTACAATACATTTTACGTAGTTTTCAATAATTTCACATTAAATAATACATATTACTACTTTTGTCTCATTTTATGTGACATTGATAAATTAATTTTAAGAATCAGTCAATTTCTTTTTTTGTGTTTTTTTAAAAAATATTTTAAGTTGTCAATTATCACGATTTATTATATTTTATACATAATTTGTAACGATAGATTAATTTCAAGAATCAATCGAATTTTTTATATGTTTTTATTTTTGAAATATTTTATGTTGTCAATTATCATGATTTATAGTATTTTTACGATAGATTCACTTCAAGAATCAGTGAAATTTTTTGTATTTTTTTCAAAACATATTTTATGTTGTCAATTATCATGATTTATAATATTTATACGCAATTTTTAAATATAAAAAACACAAATAAAGACAAATAAATTAAAATGGACCGAATATATGTTATTTTTGTTGTCTCAATTTATGTGACACAAATAAAATTTGGAGAGTCATCGAAATTTTCATATTTTTTAAAAAATGTTTTAAGTTATTAATTATTGTGATTAATGGTGTTAAATTGTCCAATAATATAAATTTTAAAGGTACAACCATAAAAGAAGAATGTACAACACTATCTAAGCACATGTAACACTTGTCATGTGCTAAGTAGTAGATATTCCCACTTATTATATACAGTAATAGAAAAATATATATAGAAATGACATATTTATTATTTAATTAAATAATAAATATGTAACTAAAAATCTTGTTAGCTTTTGGTTGAAAACTAACAAGATAGTTACAATTAGTTACATTGTGCCTTATTATATATAGAATATATATAACTAAATAAAGTATTTTAACATTTTTTGTCTAAAAAAAAGACTAAAATATTTTCTCCATCTTGAATTCTTAAGTAGAGCACTATTTTCTCATGAAAATATGGGTAAACTAGTATTTTACCAAATCCATTTGTTTTACCCATATCAAATAAGAGTGGGTTATAGTATTACCCATTTTATGTTGACCCATTTTCAACCCGCCCAAATTTGGCCCAACCTGTGCATTTGTCACCACTAGATGTGTTTAACCTTTGGGTCTTCACATTAACTCATTACACATAAAGTGACCACTAAAGTTGTCTCAAATTTTCAAAAAGACACATTTGCAACGTAACCGTCTTATTATCCCACTAAACAATTTTGAACATATATTATTATATTATTTTTTTATCAGCCCCAAATTTTAAGAAGCAAGTGTATTCACACACCAATCATTACATGACACGTGTTAATTTAATTTTTTTTCATTTTAAGTTTTTTCTTTACTCTCTCTCTCTCTCTCTCTTACTTTTTGACTTATTTTAATTTTGATTTCATTTTAAATTTCACTTCATCTTCCATTTCCTACTTTCAAGTGATTCATCCCTCCATTTTCTTTTTTCTTCTTCACCTCTCACCCTCACCCCACCCCCCACGTCTAGTTGAACCACACTCTCATTTTTTTCTTTTATTTTTTTCTTCTTCTCGAGTCAAATTCTTTATAGAATTCATACTATTTTTAGACTTTATTGAATTATTGATGACAAAATTAATTATTTTTCTAAGAAAATTTAAAATTTTGAAGGTATCATCAACTACTCATTTTCATATAACTTCAAAATTAGAAATGATAATTTTTAAAGAATCAATGAATTCCCAAAAATTGAAAGAACTTAATTGAAATCGGATAAAAAACTATATGATACTTCCTAATCATCTTGAGATTTAATGGGTTTATTAAATTGTTTGAAATGTAAGAAAATATTTAGATAAAGTTTTAAAATTAAAGAGAGTAAAATTAATAGTAGTAAAAAAAGAAATGTGAAGTTGTGGTAAAAATGGTAACATTGAAAGTGAGAAGTTTCAATGGAAATAACAATGATTTTTTGAAAAAGAAAGAGAAAAAATAAAAAGGAAAAAAAGTTGAAATAATAAGAAAATATATTTTATAATAAAATACTTATAAAAATAAAATTATATTAGTTACTTTAGGTTGATCACTCTCTTAGAGAGAGCGCACACCACACCCTATGTTAGGTGGACGAAAAATGATATAATAATACATGTTCAAAATTATTTAGTGGGATAATAAGACGGTTGCAAAGTTAATGTGGTTTTTGACAATCCGGACACTTTCAATAGTGACTTTATGTCTTTTCTCCTAAAAATGTTATAACTTCTCTTCCTTTTTATGTCTTCTATAAAACTAATTACTCTTTTCTATAATTGAAAAAATGAAGTCTTTGGCCCTCCAAAAAATATATATTTTAAATGTACATTTCTTTTCTTAATTATAATTATATTTTTTATTTGTTTAATTTTATATTGGATAACATATAATAGTGTAAAATAAACAATCATGTATTAGTATTAACATTGTTTAAAGTGCATTAAGCATGTTTTAGTCCTCAAATGCAAATATTCATTTACTTTGAAATTAAAATTATTTTTCCCTTGTTATTACATAAATTTATGTTATATTGAAAAGTTATAGGATTTTCTTTTTGACTTTTATGATATAATATAACTAAATAAAGTATTTTAACATTTTTCGACTAAAAATGAAATTAAAATATTTTCTCCATGTTGAATTCTTAAGTAGAGTACTATTTTCTCATGAAAATATGGGTAAATATGGGTAAATTAGTATTTTACCCAACCCATTTGTTACCCAATCCATTTTTACCCATATCAAATATTGGCGGATTGAAGTATTACTCATTTTAGGTTAACCCGTTTTCAACCCGCTCAAATTTGACCCAACCCGCCCATTTGCCACCACTAGACGTGTTTAACCTTTGGGTTCTTCACATTAACTCATTACACATTTGAAATTATGAATTCAAGATTAAATTATTTGTACAAATTTAGTGATTTTCACATAAATATCTTACTCCATGTCGAAACCCAAAAATATTGGGATCAGTTGAGTCAGTTGACTACATGTGCACCACTTTTAATATAGATATTTGATTTAATTACACAAAATTTTACTATGCTTGTGGAAAGAAGGAAAAAGAAAAAAAAAAACTCCCCGGCTCAATTCTTGAAAAAGAAAGAAAAATAATAAAACATATCTGAACCGTCAATTTCACTTGTAGAGATGCACCAAATAGCAAGACATGCCCGGAAACTTGAACCATATAGGACACATTGAGCTTGGATGCACCCATATACTAAAGTAAATTTGTATAAATATTCATTTCTATATATGGTTTAGGGAAAGGAGCATGAGTTCACGTTCACGTGAACCCATAGCCTCCACCTAAATACGCCCTTACCTAAATATAACTATGTGTATTACTATGAATAACGTCTATATACATTCTGTAACATACTCCGAACTTGTTTCACATAGCATGATGCTAGGAACTCTGTCCACCATAGCGCCTCTGTCTTTGCTGAAAAGAAGATAAAGCCTCTAAAAATTCAGCTTCACCAAAATCAGGCCATTGTGAATGAGAAAAGAAGAGTTCAGTATAGGCCAACTGCCAAAGTAAGAAATTGCTAAGTCTAAGCTCCCCACTAGTCCTTATAAGTAAATCAGGACTTGGAAATTCAGTGCATTTTGTTTGTAATTCCTGTTCTACTAGGAAACTATTAATGTCTTCGGGTTTGATATTGCCATCCTTAACTTTTTGAGCAATGGTTTGACAAGCTTGTACAACATCATGCTGTCCACTATAGTTTACTGCAGCAACGAGGTGAAGTCGGGAGTTTGCTTTTGTAGTCATTACCGCTTTCTCTATCAAGTCCTGCAATGACTTGGGGAGCTTACTGGAGTCTCCAATTATAGATATTCGAATCCCTGCTCTGTAGAAATCCAATAAAGCATATAAGGGAACTCCTTAGAGCATACAGAGTCCATCATAATACCTCAAAGTTGAAGCTCTAAGACAGAAAAGAGGAGAGGTTATGCAGATATGTATATTTTGGCAGTGCACATAAGAATTGGTATTCAATGAAGTTGCAGTTATAAACATAATGAACCTCTTTATATAGAGGCGAGCGAGATTCGTATGTGTCCTAGCTACATGTGAATCACACTAGATACATGTATTTGGAGCGAGATGGGAGAGATGTTATGTACCCCAAATACATATGAATTCACTTGGATATGATGTATCTGGAACAAATTACACCTAAAATTGACCTCATTGTTTTCAAGATGCATATATCTGGAGGCACTAAAATTTGATAAGATACATAATATTGCAAACTAGAGTGTATCTAAATAATTAGCTCCTAAATTAGTGAAATTTAGGCAAGTTTCCCAAATTTCAATTAATTAATGATGTTACCAAAAAAACTAATATTGGGCTTTTGGCTACTTACGATTTGTGAGCCAATACTACAAAATTGTAGTATAGCATACCATAAGAATTACTAAGGCTATAGCTTCTTTATAAACCAAGTTGTGTATTAAGTGATCATTTGGTTGACATACTAGTTTATATAAAATTACAATACAATGATATTATGCAGCGAAATAATAACATGGAAAGTGCTAAATATGTGATCGAACTTTGAGAAAAGGTTTATCTATTTCATCTATATCATTTTCATTTGAGAAAAGAGGCATCTATGCCATTATTTGTTAACGAAAAATAGTTCAGGTTTTGCAAAACAATTTTTTAGAAAAAAGCTCAAATATGTAATCGTAACTTTGAGATTTGATATCTACGTCACCATTTACCTGGCAAGATTTTCAAGTTCATCTTTCACTACTTTATCGAACAAGCCCATCAAAAGATCAACTTCCGCCTATAACATAAACAACACAAAAATCAAACACAAATCAATAACTGAACCCTTAGAAGAAAAAAAAAAAGAAGGGGAAGATATAGACTTTACTTCAGGACGGAACCAATTTTCAGAGGAAAAAGCAAATAGAGTAAGAGCCCTAATTCCCCAATTGTAGCTGAGTTTAACAAAGTTCCTAAGAGCTCGAATACCGGCTACGTAACCTAACGCAACCGGTAATCCTCTCTTCTTTGCCCACCTTCTATTCCCATCCAATATCACTGCAATATGTTTCGGCATCAATTCTCTCCTCAATTCTGGAGGCAACGAAACTTCCTCCGCCGAAGAATTAATTGAACTCTTGGCTGCTTCGATGTTGCTAGTGGCGTCGTTCTGGGCATAGGCAAATGGATGAATTGACGGTCTTTTTGTTAAATTGGGGATAATTTGAGGGTTTGTTGATTTTGATTGGAAGCAAAATCTACTGGGAGAAACGAAGATTTGTTGGAGCTGAAGTGAGAACGCCATGTTTATGAAGGCAAAAAAAAAAAAACTCTACCTCGCCAGTTTATAGATTTGGAGGGAGAATCATATTATATATCATATTATATAGAAAATTTTAATATTGTGGTTTTAGTATTATAATATTTGGTTGGTATATTATATTTGTTTTATTTTATTTTGATATTTGGTATGGTATTTGTATTTTAAAATAACATACTGAATATTATACCGAAGTATATAGTTACATATTAGTATAAACTAAATGTTTATAAGCTAAAACTTTGATTACTTCATTTTGATTGAGAATGTAATTGATTAACAAAAAGTTGTTTGTACTTTATTTTGAATATATATTTTTACATGGGTAATGCTTTAGTATGATATAATTGAGAGTTTTTCTAATTGTCGAAGTCATAATACTTTATTATATGAGTATATATTAGTTGAAGTTGAACAAACTATGATTATCGATTGACCATATCATAGCATATCGAAACCAAATTCAAAATACTGAACCATACTAAATTAAATTGGCATGATAACGATATAATGTTTCAAAAATCAAATACCATTACGATTTCAAAACTTGCAATACCGTACCACATCATATCATGTCCACCCCTGAGAGAGAACATTATTCAACTGAATTATTAAAAATTATTTCGTTTACGTAACTCAGACTTGGAGAAGGTAAGATAAATAGGTGAGGTGAGTTTAAAGTCCATAATATTTTTTTAAAATTAAAAGTCGCCTAATATTACTATTTATCCTTTTATGCCACTCAATTTTGGTAAATATTGACAAAGCTCCAAGCGCAACGTGTATACTTTGGAAACTAGTACATAGATAAAAGCAAATCCGAAGGTGATTGAAAAACAAGGTGATCGTTATTGCTTATTAGGTATTGATCGTTATCGGTTTGATTATCGATTTAACTATTAAGATTTGATTAAAAAAATATTTTTCTGTCTCACTTTATGTGAGGTAGTTCGACTCGGAGTTGAAGAAAGAAATGAAGAATTTTAAAACTTATGGCTTTAAAAGAAATTATAGAAATGTGTGGGACTATAAATCATTTCATTAAGGGTAAAATTGACATTTTTAAAATTAAATTGTTACTTATAGAATGTGTTATTCCTTTTGGATTTGACTAAAAAGGAAAGTAAGTTAATTTAAATTGGAAAAAGAAACCCTTAGAAACAAGATGACAAACCAAATAAAACATAACATGGGTTGATAGATTGCATCTTGTTCAAAAGCAAATACTTACATATTTTGAATTAACTAAAAGTTCCAGACAATCAGAAATAAAAGTTTGAAACTATATCCTAAGTCAAAGACTTATGTACCAAATGCATAAATATAATTTATTTTTTTATTATCAAGCTATCAGTTAACTCATTAAGAAAAAATTTCAAATGGTTAAGAATTGATAACCCAAGAATAAAAGAAAATTAAAATCGTTATTGAAACCATTAAATCAATAACTTATTACCGATAAATTAATAACTGTTGTTATTAATTTGAATTCTTGATTCCGTTTCGAGTTTGAACAACCCTAATCCAAACCGCCACAAAATTTGAAAGTCAAACAAGTGCAATGGAATTATCTGTTTAGTGCTTTCAGAACAATAGAAAACAATGACTATTGCTTTCAAACCAAGTGGTTGTTGGCTTGTTGCTGTTGCAAGAAGAAAACCTCGAATTTCTACGCAACGTATGTGTGGCTACTAATTAAAACAAACAAAAAATCCAAATTATACAATTTGAATTCTACAAGCAATTTAGGGTGTTCACACATAATCAAAAAAATTGAAATTAAAAAAAATGTTTATATATGTTCGATTTGATTTGATTTTGACTTTAAATTGATAAAATTTGAGTTTAATTTTAAGCAAAAAAAAAAATCGAATCAAATTAACTATATAACTATCTATTAAAAATTATAATTGCATATGTATTTATATTTTTATATAAAAATTTAATGATACATATTATTTTTTTACACTCTTGTAGGATTGTTCAAAAGCGAATCGAAACAATTAAGTTTAGCCAAAAAAAAATTATTAGTTTATCGATAATGGATAGGATTGTTCGAAATCGAATCAAACCGAAACAAATAATTCAAACTAAAAATAGTTATTGGTTTATTGATAATGGGTAATTTGTTCAGTGATTTTGCTAACAGTCTTAATTTTATTATAATCGGGTTATCGATTCTTAATGATTCAAATTTTTTCCTTAATATGTTAACCAATAACCCTATTGTAAATCAGTATATTATCTTTATATCATTTAGTTGGGTGTTTGGAGTGACTTTTGACTTTTAAGTTATTTTTTTATTACTTTTTTAAAGCTGAAGAAAAAAAAAAGAGCCTCAATTTATGACTTTTAACTTATAAGTAAATTTAAAAGAATCAATCCAAACACCTCCTTAGTATATAAAGCCAGTGACTTAGGTTTTAGTTTTAAACTTTCAGTTCTAACTGTATCAAACTCTTGGTTATTCTATAAGATATCAGTGTCTACCTTTGAGCAGGATGTAATTTGTCAACTCATGTATTGATTCATTTGGTTCGTCACTTGTTTTTAAGTAATTTTCAATGATTTGTCACATGTCACGTACTATTAAAAGAAAAAACAACAAATTCCGACACACAAAAACTCAATTTAATTGGTTCGGTTTGATTTCCTTTTTAAGGAAAAACAGATCCAAATCGAACCATCATTAAACTATATGCATCATTACATGTATCACTTGCTCAAACTACGAATTCAAATGCATCATAGCGGCATCATGTAATTGCAACTTTCAGCAAGTTGAGGCAATGTAAAAGGAAATTAGACAAACAAAGAAAAGATGATATGCCGATATTGTGAAGACTGCAATCACGATTTACAATAATCAAACGCGCACCACGAGTCACTTATCTTCCCTCATTTCCAGTCTATACCAGTTGTTTGTGACCATCCCAGATGATTCGTGGTCAGGTGTCTGAGATACCGTATATACCACCTTAGCAACAAGTCATCGATCTTGCCTCGTGTGCTAGTTGGAGACAAGGTAGAGCTCGCTCTAATTGGCTATTAGATGAAATGTCTCACAGCTGTCCATTTGCAGGATCATGAGACAAGGGTTACCCAATGCTGCGCGCTGCACCTGCATTGGATCCTCCAAAAAGGATCAGACAACATCGCTCTTAAGTACCTCAGACTTGTTTCTCATAAGAACTCACCTTCAATGATCTCAATAAGGTTTTCTCAGCCTCACAATTAATCCAAAAGTTCATGGCATAAAGCTAGGAGCTCTGTCTACCGTAGCGCCTCTGCCTTTGTTGAAATGAAGACAAAGCCTCCATAAATTCAGCTTCTCCAAAATCAGGCCAATGTGAATGTGAAAAGAACAGTTCAGCATAAGCCAACTGCCAGAGTAAGAAATTGCTAAGCCTTAGCTCCCCACTAGTCCTTATAAGCAAATCAGGGCAAGGGAAATCGATACAGTTTGTTTGTAATTCCTGCTCTATTAGGAAACTATTAATGTCTTTGGTTTCGATAATGCCATCCTTCACTTTTTGAGCAATGGTCTGACAAGCTTGTACAACATCATGCTGTCCACTATAGTTAACTGCAACAACGAGGTGAAGTCGTGAATTTTCCTTAGTAGTCTTTACAGCTTTATCTATTAAGTCCTGCAATGACTTGGGGAGCTTACTGGAGTCTCCAATTATAGATATTTGAATCCCTGCTCTGTAGAAATCCAATAAAGCATATAAGGGAACTCCTTAGACTACACAGAGTCAATCATTATACCTCAAGGTTAAAGCTTTAAGAAGAAAAAAGAGGAGAGGTTATGCGAATATGTATCTTTTGGCAGTGCAAATTAGAATTGGTACTAATGAAGTTGCAGTATAAACATAATGAGCCACTTAAGTCAAAGTTATCGATCAACTAGCCTTAACACGTTCAACATTCATCTCGACAGTAATTTCAGCCAATTAATGATCTTACCAAAGCAATTGCACTAATAAAAGTTGAAGCTTTCGATCAACCAGTGTTAACACATTAAACATTCATCTTGACAGTAATTTCAACTGATTAATGATCTTAGAAGTGCAATAATAATATTGGGATTTTGACTACTTCTGACTTGTGAGGCAATACTACAAAATTGTAGTATAGCACACAACAAGAATCACTAAAGCCATATCCTTATAAACAGCGCTTTGTGTACTAAGCGGTCATTTGGTTGATGAACTAGCTATACAATATTACACAAAGCAATGATGCTATGCAATGGAATAATAATACAGAGATTGTTCGGCAGTGAAAAGTAATATGGAGCTTATTATATCGGAATTGTCTGACTTAAGAGCATTTTTGTCTTCAGATACACTTTTACTATTATATTTCTTCCACATTCTATCACGCATAAAACAAAAAACACTACATTCGTTACTAAGATGCATGATACCGGAAGCAAACATATTAGTTAGGCAAGATTACACTAGCAATCAAGATAACCATGAACCGATATAGAATTAACAAACACATTGTTCATGAGTATTGACAAAACTACAAACATTTAGAGAACAGAGTGATTCAGAATTTGAAGTTTATGGATTCTAAAGTCATTTACCTGGCAAAATTTTCAAGTTCATCATTCAGTGCTCTTTCGAATAAGCTCATCAAAATATCAACTTCCACCTATAACATAAGCAACAAAAAAAAAAGATCAACAACAGCAAACACAAACAAATTACACAACACTTAATAAAATGGAACTTATAGACTTTACTTTAGGACGTAACCAATTATCAGAGGAAAATGCAAACAAAGTAAGAACCCTAATTCCCCAATTTCCACACAGCTCAATAAGATTCCTAACAGCTCGAATACCCGCTTCATAACCTAAGGCAACTGGCAATCCTCTCATTTTAGCCCACCTTCTATTCCCGTCCATTATCACTGCAACATGTTTCGGCATCAGTTCTCGCCTGAGCTGTGGAGGTAAAAGTACTTCCTCAGCTGAACCGTCAATGGCGGCGACACCAGTACTGTCAATGTTGCTAATGGCGGCGTTTTGAGCAACGGCGAGTGGATGAATCGACGGTAATTTGAGTGAGATTAGAGGATTAGTTATTGATTTTGGTTGGGAGCAAAATCTAGTGTGCGAAAGGAAGATTTGATGGAGCTGGAGTGAGAACGCCATTTTTTGTGAAGGGAAAAAGGCTCTTTGTGTCAATTTTTCAGATATGACTTTGGAGGGAGATGACTTTCAACTTCCAAAAGACTTTGTATGGTTGATAATAAACCAACGGCTGTGAGAAAAGGATAACATGACAAAATTGGTGTCATTTATATAGAGGTAGGTCAAAAAGTAAAAGTAATCTATTGTTGTTTGACTTGACACGAATCTAGCGTTGTTGATTATAAATTCCTTTTTTTTATAGTTCCTTTGACATCTAATAAACAAAATTTGTTTAAAAAACAAAAGCCGAGATACCAAGATAAGTTATCTCAAATTCAGCTGTTGAAGTTTTATTTGTGAAATTTAGAACTTCGTAATAGTTGTTATTCTTCAATTACATGGGGAAAAAATTATTTTGTGTTTTTTGGGGATTTTTATCCTTTTTGTTCAAACGATTCGTAAGGGATAGTCCCTTTTATCTCTATTCAATGAAATAATTTCCATAAAAATAATGCTGCTGTGAATGAATATGAAAAAATCTGCTTAAAAGATACACTCTAGGATAAACACTACTTCTCAAAACTAATATCCTAAAAATATCAAATGAGACATTACCAGGCTAACTGTTACATTTCATTATGGGACTTTCCTCTACATGTAGGTAGGTTCATGTGTCCCGAAAAGAAAAGAAAATAATCATCGTACACCATCCAGTCAGGTACTTCGATTAACATTAAGAACTCTTCATACCGGAGGAGCATTAACGAGGAGTATTGCAGAACATGTACGAGCCCCATCTACTGGAAGAACAACACATGAAGATACAGCAAAGGACACTAGACCCTATGCCCTCGCGGTGGAGGTAGCCAGCACAAAGTTAAACCTCAGTTCCATAAGCTCATAAAGTTCACTCAACGTATTCAATGGCACTGGTTTCTTTGGGTTTAATGCAATACACACGAGATCCCAAATGGTTTACTTCAAGACCAGCCCTTTCACATCCTGTGAAAAAGAGTGATTCATCTTCTTTCCCTATCCTGCGTCTCCAGCTCATTAAGAAAGCTGGCCAAAGCAAAGGACATGTATCTGAGCCATAAGTTTTGATAGACCGGTTAATTAGTGATGTCTAAGATTAATAGGTAAGCTTTACAAAAAGTATATACTGACCTTTTTCTTCACTAGTTCCAGAACCTGTTTCATTAACTTTTGGCTTGTAGGATTTCAATAGAAAGCATAGAGTCTTTACCAAGTTCTCATATTGTTTCACATCTGCAAGTAGCAAATGAACAAGAAGAAATGAGAATTAAGGGGAAAGTTCGAGGATGCACACAAGAAATACAAGCTTGACACGTACAAGATAATTGCAAGGGATAGGATCGTAGGAAGGATCATAGAGAGCCTGAGGCGAACTACTTACATAGTAAGATATCACTTGCAATGATGAGGTCCCAGTCAGGATCAGCTACTGGAAACACATCTCCCCATGAATCTGAGAGCAATGCCAATTTATTTTCGAAAGTTACGAAAGCATAACTTGTATACACTACATCAAAAATGATCAATAGCGGCAATTAAGAATTAATTGCCGCTAAATATGTATTTTTAGCAGCAATTAACACTCTTTGTATATGTCCCCAAAGCCTTTAGCGACATTGGTTCTAATGGCACTTAACTAATGCCGGTAAAGACTTTAGCACTCTTTATTAATGTCAATATTTAATGCCGCTAAAAGTTGTTTTTGTTGTAGTGATATCAAAACAGAAGTTAAGTGTTCATGGTTTATAAGTTTTTTCCCAGAGAGAATTTGCATCGTGGTGATAAAAGAAGGGAATAAACTTCATGGAGAAAAGAACTAACGCCTTATGTGAGGAAGGGCAGGTGAAACGCCATTCGCCTGGCAATTATGTGCTATGTTCTCTTCAATATCAGGATCATCATAGTCCGACGTTGTAATATCAAGTTGATATGATTTGCTCAAGAATATAGCCAAAGCTCCGGTTCCACTGTGACAAACTCAAAAGGTAGCACGAGGACCACCATGTTCAATAAAGGGAAGGAAGCAGAAAGAGGAAGGAAAAGACACCAGTTGATATTTATAACTTAATGTTATTCTTATCTTCCACTTTCACATTAGATACACATGAGAGCCAAGGGGACAGAAACAAATGCAAATAAAATAGAACTCTTTCAGTCGATAGCATGACAGATACAAATGAGATTGCCAACTGAACAACAAAAGAGAATGAAAAATGATACAAAAGTGTTTTTATTAATGTTCTCTATTACTTTGCAGAGCTTAGCAGTAGGGGTGTGCATCGGTCGGTTCGGTTTTATGTGTTATTGATTCGGTTTATCGGTTTTTGGTTTGTAAATACGTCAAACCGATAACCAAACCAATAGCATATTTCTTATCGGTTTTTGGTTAATCGGTTTATGGTACTTAACGGTTCGGTTTTCGGTTTAACCAATAAGAAAATATTCATATATATTATATACACGATAAGAAAATTTTCATATTAACCATATGATTTTTCCAGCATTTGGCATGAAAGTAATAATCATAAAAGTAACTTCTTGCAAGTTTAGACACTAGACACATTCAAAGGAAAATGTGAAAGTAACAATCGTTTAATCATTAACAATAAGACTAGTAAATTTAGTATAGTCTTATTGGGTTATCGGTTTAACCATTAACAAAAATCATAAAATCGAAAACCGAACCAATAAATCAATAAAAAAAATTGCAAAACCGTTTAAAAACCGTTAGCCCAATAACCCAATATCAATAAACCAATAGTGTTTTTTTCGATTCAGTTTATTGGTTAAATCGGTTTTTGCACACCCCTACTTAGCAGTATAATTGAAAGGATATTAGTTGGAACAGCATCGTGCAAACATTGGCTACAGATGAAAATAGTCACTGAAAATTGCTAATATGACAGTCATTAACAAAAAACATTATTTGATATTGAAAAGGAAGTTTGTTTCTTAAGCTTATAACGAACATTTAAACAGAATAGCAGCAAGGTTCGCTTGCACCAGAACTTTGAAGCAAAGTTCTACACAGCTTGTGCAATGGGCACATGCTAAGATCATTTAGCAGAGAAAATACTGAAGAAGGTCCAACCTTTTTGGATGAGAGGACAACATATTTAATGCTTTAAGGTATTACCTGCCTAGCTCAATTATGCGACGCCCTCTTAACCAGGATGTATGTTGCGCAAGCCATTCCGCAAATGCAAATGTCCCAGGCCAAAGTAAATTAGCATTCATCTGGTGAAAAGAAAACTCTTGGATAAGCAACTCCTGTGGACAAACCAAAGTGTATTAGTTTCCATGCTGAGCAAAGCAATAAATAACCTACACAGAACTCACATATCTCTCACACACATTTACTTTGGCAAAAATACAAGGAAGCAGCAGCATTGTGATAAATCCTGAAACATGATTTGATCTCTATTAACTTCTGACAAGTGAAGATTTGGTCAATAAACTGAATGGTGATATATAACAATCTCAAGCTATTTATTTAGTTGGAAGATGGTATTATTGTGCAGAAAAATAAAATCCAAGCCGAATAAGCCCAAACATCCACCCACAAGATAAGGCAACGAGAAAGGAAAATTTTCCAGGTAATCGTCCAAGTGAACTATAGATAATTTGAAAAGATTCATTAGATCATTACATTGCAACTTGCAACCACGATGTTTCTTTTAAACCAACAAGATTTGATAAGCAGCAAGCAACTTAAAATTCTCCAGTAAAAACAAAAAGAGCACATCTCATGTCCTTAAATATAAACATAGTAAAAGATAACAACATGAAATCGGTGAGTGAATGAATGTACAAACATCAATCTTCACCTAAGACCAAGGGGAAAAGCGACCTCACGGTTCAAATCCTATCACAGAGATCTTTCCTTCTCAACTAAAGGAACTATCTTTCTGATTTATGAAGTTTAGCAACTAAGGGGTTGTTTGGTTGGGAACAAGTTATCCTGGGGTTAGCTGTCCTGGGATAACTTATCCCACCATGTATATGGAATAACTTATTCCACCACTATGATATAAATGGTGGGATAAGTTATCCCAAACATGGCAACCAAACAAGATACAAAAATCTCATCACTATTTATTTTTATCCCTCACACCAAACGACTCCTAAAGGTACTATCTTTCCTTCTCAAAATAGTAACAAGACTCGTGAAATGGCTTGAGCGACCTATCATCTGTTGTTCTAGCCTTGGTGGACAGAAGTACCTAATACTTATTATTGGTGGGAGGTTAATCGAGGTTCACACAAGTTGGCCCGGCCACCACAGTTATCGAAAAAGAAAAAATTATACCAACTTCCATTTACACATATACAAAAGATCTGGCGTCTAAAAATCTTAATACTCATTTATTAGCTCTTGAATTTTAATGGTAATAATCAATAACTACAACAAAATTGCTATGAACCCAAAATACAGAATCTAATTGAACTCACCATTTCAGGGAACTGGTGCCTCCTCTCCACAAAATTTTGCTGAGCCTCCGTGTTCTCTTCATCTGCCGTCAAAAAAAAAAAAACTTTAACGAATGTAACATGAATGCATTACGAAAATCATATATGAATATTGTTAGAATTTTTATTTTTTTGAAAAAAAGTGTACCGGAGGAGTTGCTATCACTGCCGCCAAACAAGGAAGAAGGAGAAAACAGAGCAGTATCCATTACTGTAATTGGAAAACTTGGGGAAAGAGGAAGACTTGATTTTTAATCAATTTTATTAATATCAAACCTGGCCCTATATGTTATGTAAATTACAATTTACCCCTCATTTCTTTTAGGGAAAATTGTATATAATAACAAACTATTAATTCAAATTAAATGCTATAAATATAGTTTGATTTAATTGTACCTCATAACAAATTGTTGTTATTTCACCTCTCTCCTGGTGAATCTCGCTCGCCACTCTCGTTCTCTCCCTCGCCTCTCTCGTTTTTTATACAAACGCAAGTGTATAAAGTGTGTTTGTATTTGTATAAAGCG